GTGACTTGTGCAAACTCAGGCAGTGCTTACAAAGACTCTAGACAAAGGGGTCGGAAATATGGGACCCCAGATAGTCATGATTCTGTCTCCTTGATTAAGCTGCTTTTAATTTTGTTTTCTCTTTCACTTCAATTATATTCTCAATTAATAAAATAGGGTTTGGAGAAACACTTTTTTTTTGCAAACTCTGATGCCACAATAGTAAATAAAAGACATATGTGAAGAGTAAATCAGGTTTGTTTTACTATTTCCCAGCATATCCTCATGTGTAATTGTGTTGGGTGATCTCTGAGACACCAAGAAGTGTTTGTAAAGATTTTCTTTACAAGTCCACATTTGCATCCTTCTATGAAAGTGACGCACTGCTCATTCGAATGGACCCTGTAGCAAGGAAAACATCACGCGTCTTAATGAAACACTCAATTCAATCAAATTAGATAGGAAAGCATCCTTTCAATACCAGCTTTGTAAGACTGTGGCCACAAGCCAAAATAACTGGCAAAGAGTGTTGACTATTATTACTTCTGGAAGCAGTAGATTTCTGGGAATCTGGGTAGGGTGTGAGAATCTTAGGGGGTCCTAAAGGACCGAAGAGTGTGGAGAAATGGTGTCAGGTTAATAGCAGGCAGAACCATGATTATTGAGTAGGAAGGGTTAAACATACCCCTGGTCCTGATGGAGGCCACAGCCTCCATCACTTTATACATTTTTCTCAGTTTTACTGAAATATAGTTAATATATAACATTTCCTTAGTTTAAGGTATACAATAATGATTTTATACACACACACACACACACACACACATATATATATCATAATGATTACCACAATAAATTTAGTTAACACCCATCACTTCACATAGTTACAAATTTTTCTTCTTGTGATGCACACTCTTAAGACCTACCCTCTTAGCTTACCTATTATCAGTAATGAGAGTGGTTTACTATATTAGGGGTCACTTGGTTGGAAGAAATGGCAACCACCTTGAGTAAGCTTGTATGCAAGGAAACATATGCACAAGAATAAGAGGTATCCTATAAACTCTAGAGTAAGAGTATGGCCAGGGAACAAAAGAGCGTAAAGCCTTTAGGAATCTGGTAGGCCAGCTCTCTGATTGCTGGTGGGAGTACAAGGTGCAAAACAGCTGCTAAAAATAGCTGCCCTGGCCACCCTCCAAGTCCATGTAATCCTTCAGTTTCAACACCCAAAAGTTAACTGATACTGTTTCCTATGCCCCAATTCAAAATTTGAAAAAAAGGGAATGTCATTGGTCCAGCCTAGGTTATGTGTTCATCCATTGTCGGATCAGTTATAGCTGAGGTGGGAGGGCCATGTGGGGGTAGGAAAGCAGAGCCTTGAGAAAAGGAAAAGGGCATATCCTCTAAGAAGGAATGTAGTGTAGGTAGAAATAGTTACCTGAGAAAATGATGTATGTTTCTAATACATTTATCCAGAGGGAAAAGCAAAATTGTTGCTTTCAAAACCTAGAGGTAGGATCCTGGGAGACAGTCATGCTCTGTTTTTCCTTCCTGTGGCTTCTCCACTTACTTCTCTACTAGTTTTCTAATTACTACTAGCAGAGCAATCAATACAAGGTTATCAACTATAGGGGCACGTTAATTAAGGTGATCAAATTAATCAGGTAATTAACTGGCCTTCCCTGAGAAGGTGAGCCTGTTGAGGTACTAGTGACATTAGGTCATATCAAGTTTTCCACAGGCTTTAGGAATCATGGTAACTGTGCATTGTGCCAGACTGAACCAAAAGTTCATCATCCTCATCAATGGGCACACAATTCCTCTGGTCTTACCTATGATAAGTCCATATTCCCAAGCCAGAGCTCCCAGAGCCTTGCTCTCATTCTCACTAGCCTCTGTTTCAGTGGCAGACATGGGCACTTAATAACCCAATAGTGGTATTTTCCTTCTACCCAACAAACAAAACCCCAACTATCCCTGGTGGTCCAGCTTAAAGTCTCCATTTCTCAGCCTCTCTTGTAGCTAGAAAGTAACCAGTGAGGTTGAGTGGAATGATTGAGTAGCTCTTCTGTGGTTCTTTGAAGGGACCCATCCAGTTGGGAGAGATGCCCTTCCTATTTCTATTACATTTTTCATTCTATAATTTCCATTTGGTTCTTTTTTTTTAACTTCTTTTCCTTTGCTGAAATTTTTTATTTTTTCACTTGTTTTTAGAGCATTTGTAGTTGATCATTGAAGCATCTTTATGATACCTGATGTAAAATCCTTGTCAGACAATTCCAACATCTGATTCATCTCAGTGCTAGTGTCTGTTGATTGTCTTTTCTTATTCAAGTTGTGATTTTCTTGGTTCTTGGTTCTCATGGTTTGCAATTGTATCTTGGACATTTTGTCTATTATTGAGAGGATACTCTGGGTTCTATTTGAATAGTTTATTTTAGCAGACTTTTTAAGTTCTAGGATGCTTTTGTGGACTGGCAAGAGGTGGAGCTATGATACCAGGATGAATATGTCCAATGAAAGTTTAATTTTCAGAGCCTTTGTGGTATTACTTTGGTCTTCTTGTTATATCTGGTACTACTGGGGCTCCCGTGGGTCTCTAGTAGACTTGCTTGAGGGGACAGAGGGGATGTCCCAGGCCAGCAGAAGGATGACAGTTTGTCAGGAAGAAGAATATCAAACTCCAGAGACAAAGGGGGTTCCTGAGCTGGGCAATTTGTTGGGTCTGGATATCTCTCAGTGGAGCTGGGAAATTTCAAGCCCTACATAGAAGAAAAATACTTGTTTATTAAGCACTCTCATCTGCTTATTTCTTGGGACAAAAAGGTAGAAGAAACCTGGTACTGCTGATTGAAACCCACCATACCAACTTTAGACTAAATAGTTTTGTTCTCTTTCTTATGTAAGAGGAAAAAAAATATTCTACCATATTTCAACCACTGCTATTTGTGTTATCTGTGATATGTTACAGAACTTAATCTTAATTGACATAACATCAAAAGGAGGGAAGGATAGAACTGGTGAATTCCCAAAGTTGGCTGATCCCCACTGCTCCAGACGGATCAGTTAGCCAGCCCCATGTCTGTGACCTATGCTATCTTCTTTGGCTACAGGCATCATCTCATCTCAATCACAGGATACCCTGAATGAAATGAGAGAGCCACCTCTTTGAAAGAGCTTCGTGTCTGAATTCCAGCTCTATCACCTCCTACCTTGGTGACCATATTTCTGTTTCGACTATAAAACAAGGGTAAAAAAAAAATGACTCAAGGTTGTTGTGAAGATTATAAACTATATTACACATAGGGCACATCATTCAATAGTTATTTGATCATCATCACCAACATTACCATATCTACCCATAGCAAACATTAAGAATAAAATTATAAGAAATGAGTTATATGAAGTACAGCATATAAATAATCAAAGCTAACATTTACAGAGTACTTCCTATAAGCCAGGCACTAGTTACACACCGTGTTCAATTATTTAACCCACACAAACCAAAAAGGCGTTTATCATAACCAAAACCATCATTCTCCTTTAGTAAGTGGAAGAGACTGGGGCTCAAAGGCTAAGAACTTTGAGTAACAAGAGGTGGAGGGGCAAGAGGCAGACCTGAGACATGATCCTGGGTCTGTCCAACTCCAGAGAAAAGCTTTTATCAAACAGAGTACAGAACAGGAAGAGGTATCTCAGAGTTTGGAGTTTGAACAATGAATTCACTTCATTCATTCATTCAGCCATTCAGGGAGCATTCATTGAGCTTTCATTGTGTGCCAGTTCTGTGTTAGACTCTATTCATACAAAGATGGACAAAGCATGGCTATGCCCTCAAAGGGTGTCCCAGTGTTATTGTAGGAGATAGATTCATAAAGAAATATGTACCCTGTCAATTCTGAGTTGTGATGGGGTATGTGTGTGTGGGGTTCATTTGAAGCATGCAGCAAAAAGCAGTCAATTCTAAGGGAGTGAAGAAATGAGTCCTATAGTTCAGAAAGCTGCATTCTGTTTTTCCTGAAGGGTCTATTTTCTAATAGAATGCTGAAGGATCTCTATTTTCCTGTTTTGCTTGTGGCAAAGAAGCAAGACAGCACTTACCAAATCATACTTGGAAAAGGACTTTTGTTAGTTGGGAATGAAATCAACTGTTCTCTGTCAGTTGAAAGCCAGAAAGTACTAGAAAGTGTTTCAGCAGACATGGCATTTCCCTTCCTAGAGGTCAGAGGAAATGCCAGGACAGGTTAAGCTTTTCTTTTCTTTTTTGTTATGTCTTCCCTGACACCTCATTTGCTTATTCTACTCACAGCTTCCATCAGTAGGTGCCAGCTGGTTGGATTAATGAGGGAAAGTCCATGTGTCAAGAGAGAAAGAAATCAAATAAGAAAACCAGAGGCTGAGCTGAGATTGAAATTCACCACTGGTCATTTATTTTTCTCAAAAGCAAAACAAGTTAAAAACTTCTGCTTTTTGGAAGACACTATGAAGGAAATGTAAAGAAAAGCTGCAGGCTGGGAGAAAATGTTGTGATACATGCTGACAAGCACTTGTATCTAAATATACAAAGATCTCATAAAATTCAACAATAAAAGACAAATTACCCAATAAAAAGATGGACGAAAGATTTCAACAGATGGTTCACAAAAGAAAATATGCAAATGGCCAGTAAGCACATGGAAAGATGTTCACATTCTTCATCATCAGGGAAATATAAATTAAAACTACCATGACACATCAATATATATCTACTAGAATGGCTAAAATTAAAAAGACTAAACCAAGTGTTGGAAAGGATGTAGAGCAACTAGAATTTTCATACATTGCTGGCAAGGTTGTAAAATGGTATTACCACTTTGGAAAATAGCTTGATAGTTTCTTATAAAGTTAAACATTCAATTCCCTTTTGATCCAACAATTCCACCCATGGATATTTACCCAAGACAAATGAGAACATGTGTCTGCAAAAAAGAGACTTGTACAGGAATTTCATAGTAACTTTATTCATGACAGTCCAAAGCTAGAAATAACATAAATGTCTGATATCTGATGAATGGATAATCAAAATGCGGTATAGCCAAACAATGAAATACAATCCAGCAATGAAAAGTAATCATCAGCTACTGGTCTACAGATACATACAAGAAGAATGAATCTCTAAAACATCAAGGCTAAATCTGAGCAAAGAAAGCCAACATATACACTGTACAATTCCATTATTACATAAAACTTAAAAAAAAAAACCATAGTGACTGTACTAGTTTGCTAGGGCTGCCATAAAAATACCACTGGGTATTTGGTGGTTTAAGACTGGGTGGCCTAAACAACAGAAATTAATTTTCTCATGATGCTAGAGACTAAAATACTGATACTAAGGAGTGGGCAGGGCTGGCATCTTCTGACGGCCTGTCTTTCTGACTTGTAGTTGGCTCTCGTCTTTGTGTCCTTGGATGGGCATCTCTCTGTGCATGTCTGTGTCTGATCTCTTCTTCTTACAATGACAACAGTCATATTGGAGTAGGGCCCCTCCATATGACCTCATTTTACCTTGATCACGTCTTTAAAGGCCCTCTCTCCCAATACAGTCTTGTCCTGAGGTCTTGGGAGTTAGGATTTCAACTTATGAATGCTGGGAGTAGCGCAATTCAGTGATAACACTGACAGAAAGTTGACTTGGAACTAGAGGTAAGAAGGAACCTGCCGACAAAGGGGCATGAAGGAACTTTTCAGGAAAATAGAAATTATAAAGTAATTCTATACTTTATTTGTTTTGTATCATAATTCATTGATGATATACATACAGTTATCAAAACTCATTGATAAGAATATTTAAAATGAGTGCATAAATATCTCTAAGCAAATGATTTAAAATAAAACCCCTTCACAAAGTTTTTAGAATTTTTGGTAATAAAAGTAATACTTGTTCATTATAGAACATTTAGATTATAAAACTAAGCAAAAACCAAACTCTGATTACCTATGACTGTACCACTGTTGTAACTTTGTTGTGTGTCATTAATATATATACATATTACATATTTGTACATATACATCTTTTAACTGTAAAATATAAAACATACTTTTTGCAGTCCACTTTGCTCAGCATATAAACATAATTCACTGTCATTAAATTTTATTCTATTAACTTCATTTTGAATAACTTCATAAATTGTGGACCACCACTTAATCAGCTGGTTTCAATTGTTTGACATTTCGGACATTTGTGATTTTTTTTATCATAAGCACAACCATTTACTCTCCTAATTAGATATACGCACAAATTCCTAGCAACTCTCTTCAGATGCATTCTAGAAGTAGAATTTTTGGGTGAAAGGTCACATTTTAAGGTTTTGATAGCTACAGTTGATATAAATATAATTGTTATATATATCCCCTATAATGGGGGAAATCTGAACTGTAATCAAATGGGGTATTTAGAAACATGTTTGCCAATGGAGAGGAGGAAAATGGTGTCTCGTTGCAGTTTCAGTTGGCATTTCTTTGACTGCTTCCACTGACCTATTCTTCCCATCTGGGCTGTGAGGAGATTGGACCCAGAAACTTCACATGACCAAGTTCAAAGGATGGAGCTGGAGCGGAGATGGATGACTTCTGACTCTTAAAGTCTCACTGCCCCAGGGTCAGCTGGCTGATGTTGGGCCTGAACAGATATTAAACAGATCCCTCGGCAAAGGGAGTTTCTGAAGCAGACCTTTCATTCAATGACAGCCCTAGCCAGTGGGTGGGAAAAATGCCTCAGTGCCCCACGATCTTGGTCCAACTTCAGGGAGTTAACAGTTGGGAAAGTGAGCTAATTCACCATAAAGGGACATGAGCTATTAAGGCCCACACCCATTCTGTTATCATCTCCTTCACAAGCTGGAAATCTATCAACACTTAGATCCAGTTACTGAGCTCCCATGTGGGGAATCAATAGCATCAGCACCACCAAAAAAAAAAAAAATGTCAATACCAAAGGAGAATCATTATTCCTACCATCTCTTAAGGTGAAGGAAGAGTGAGACCAAATAAATGCATTTTAGTAATTATGGAAACACAAAGCGCTCCCTGGTTGGTAGAGGGCAGATTTTTCCTTTCTGCAACATTCCTGAGCTCTAACTCACGCCCCTGAGTTGGGTGGGACTTTCCCAACGAGGGAGAAAGCCTGTCTATCCATTCTTCAGTGTGAAAGAAACCCTGGAGACCTGAGTGCTCCCTAAAGGCAGAGTCGTTGGTGCCGCTAAAAGAACAATGTTGTGTATTGTGAACATGGGAACTGATGAGGTCAGAACCACCCCAGGGACATGAAAATATATATTTATGTAAGAGGCAGTAAAATTTGTCTGCAATTAAGTTTTACCCAAATCCTCAAATCTGTTGTTTGGTTTTAAGCAGATGTTGAAAAGGTTTATCCTGGATTCTGTCCTTATTGATAGGATGTCTTTTGATCTGCAGCCAAATAAGAAATCTGGATGTTATTTTGGATTTGGAAATTTCCTTTAAATAAACATATTAGTTAAGTATGTAAATCTGCTTATCGTCACTTTGGGCATATTGCCAGAGTAGGAAACATCTGGGGCCTGGTGTCAGCCGACTTATTAATTCACACTTAAGAGTATTTTTCACCCGGGTTATTGCTGAATAATGTTATCTTGATTGCCTCAGTCAGCTGTGTCTTGACAACAGTTCGTTACAAGTTTGAAGTTTAGATTTGGGCTCATGAGAAATCCACGGAGCAAGGCCTATTTGCGTCTAGCAATTTGGGCTTCCAGTCCCCTTCAGGACTGATTTTGGAAATTAATTGTTAACATTTTGGATTATGGATGGCAGAGATCTGTGTTATTTATCTGAACCAGCCAGCCTGTAATTCTGGGAAGGGATTATATGACCTCCTCCTGATAAGCACTGAAGTGGGGTCATTAATACAACTTTCTGCCATAAAGCTCTTGCCACTTTATGGAAGTACCTCTCCCTCCAGTTAAAATGATACTCAGTCGACTTCAACCTTTATGTCTAGAGGGAATAATTTTGTCCAGTGGGTTGGTAGATGATAAATGGCTGCAGCCTTGTATTCTTGCTAATACAAGTAATAGAGCATATAAATCCAGGGAGTCCTGTGCTCCTCACACATTGCCAGACCAGGGAATGAGTACCAGGCAATGGATGTGTTTGGAGAGCACCCTAATGAATTAATTTAACGGAGAAAATGCTTCTAGCCATTGGTTGACAGAGAAGCTGGAATTCATGTTCCAAGGCCCAGGAGAGGTGAACTGTGGGAAAGAAGAATTTCACAGAAGCTGTGTTTATGTGTGTCTTATGGTTTGTCCTTACAAAACGTCCAAAAGACTTCCTTGGTATATTAGCTAGGGTAAGTAGCATTAGGTACTATAAAAAGATGCCCAGTTTCAACAGCATAAGAGAATGAGATTGTATTTCTAGTTCACATTCTTGTGCAAGGTGGGTCAGCAGAGGGTGCAGGGGGAGTGGAAATCATGCTCCAAGCAGTCATTCATGGATCAGGCTCTTTCCACTTAGTGGCTCTGTCATCTCCAGGACTTTGGGGTCCTCCATCTGGCTGGAATATGAGAGAAGTGAGAGAACATGGAAGAGATTTTGTAATCCAGGCCTGGAACTAGTCATTGTCCAGAACCCAGTTACATGGTTGCATCTAACTGTTAGGTAAGCTAGAAAATATAGTCAAGCTATAAACCCAGGAAGAAAACATCTGATGCTCACTTAGCCTTGCATTAAGCATTTAGGCTATAGTAAGAATAGCAACAAAAGGTAACATTTAATATGTACCAAGCTTTGAGCTAAATGCTTTGCATGCATTATCTCATTTAATGCTGTTATCTCCGTTCAATTGATAAGCAAACTGAAGCTTAGGGGGCTGAAGTAATTTCCTCAGAGTCTCATGACTAGTAAACAGTGCAGCTGAGACCTAAACCCGGAGTACTGCTGACTTCAGGCCATGCGACCTCGGTTCCTCTAGCCGGCCCATCCAAGTCTTTAGATTCCTCTGGCTGATGTTGGCTCAACCCTGTCTCTACCCTTTCCCTCTCATCCTGGGCTGAAATAGTGCTTCCTTCCAACTGAGACCTAGAAATTGAGCATCCTGATTAAATCCCTTCTCATTTCCACAAATACATGGTAAACCCTAGTAGGGAAATACAATGTTGGCTCTTCAGCCATAAACAATCAGTAGTCCCTGCTCTGAGATGAGAAATGGGAAAGGCTGGGACTACAGATGTTTTTGTCCCAAATATCACCTTACTTATTTTTCCTCTTCATAGGCAGTTAAGTTTGAGAAACATTTAAATGACCCTGCAGATCCTTAATGATTCTAAAATCATGGACCATTTCTTTCTTTATTTCATCACACACTGTGTTTTCTGGATAAGAAACATCTTTTTCTATGACCTTTTATCTTCTGTTTACTCCCAATAATAGTCCTAGCAGTTGACCTTGAGAACCAACTTAATTTCCTCCCTTCCTCCCCATTCTTCCACCCCTCCCCCCTTCTCTCCCTCCTCTTTGCCTCCCTTTCATTTCATAAATATTTTCTAAGCACCTACTTGGTACTAGATCTCAGTTCTTCTAAATTTTCCCCAGCCACATCTTCAGATACATACAATAGTAACAAAGAGAGTCAAAGTTTCTCCCTTTAAGGCGTTTACCTTTAGTTTTCTGAGGCAAAACAAAATTTTTAATTTCTATAAGAATAACATTCATCTGAAGAGGGGTGAGAATCACTAAGTAGCTTTACAGTGTGGGTGTGAGGAAATTCTCACTAAGCTTCCAGTAAAGGGATTTGTTCTCAGATACCAAGTATGTAGGATTCAAATCCAAAACATACCAAAAATATAAGTTTCTACATGGTTTGGAACATTTGGGACTCCTCTGCAATAACTGAACTCATGAATTTTAAATCCATGAACACCCAGGGTTTACTGCAAGGGTGGCAAATACATGGCACTAGAGCTATCTTTCCCCCATTTTAAGCTTATGGTTGACATTGTTAATTGATTGCAGACCCTTTGCTGCTGAAGTCAGATGCAACTTTGGAATCTTCTTCAAACTATGCTGTAGGCAGCCTCCACTAATCAATAGTATTGACATAGGAGATGAACCTTTTTGCGATATACCAACTCTTTAAATATGGACACACAAAGGTATTTAACATGCTTGTATCTAGATGATATTTTTTATGCATAAAGAAATATATTTTTGAATTAAGTGAAAAGTTATAATACAAAATTGATAAGTGGGATAAAAGAAGAAGAGAGATTGAAAAAGGGATAAAAGGGGAGATAGCACATAGAGTAGATCTGGGTCATGACCAGGGCACCCTACTGGGGTTGCAGCATGAGTGTCTAATTGCAGGAAGCAGAAATGGTAGGTCACTCAGTAAAGCACTGCACATGTTCCGATAACCACACTATTGAATGTGGAAGGGGCCAGCATAGAGATGAGAAATAAATGTGACCCAACTTTAGGTCTCTTTAGGTTCATATTGCCAGGATGGAGAGACCAGTTTTCCTCCTCTCCATACCTCAATTCATTTGTATCTTTGTCTACGTGGCCTTCATGGAGAAGGGGAAGCAATAAGTCACTGGTTGGCATGCCTCATGGACTTGGATAACAGAGCTCTGCCTGCCCTCCAGAGAGTGGCTGGAATGACAGAAGGAATTTCTGTCAGGGCAGGAGATGGAGTTTGCAGACAAAAACTATTATCAAGGTGTTTTAGTGCCCTGATAACAGGGACGCCCAGGAGCCAGAGTAAAGATTCCAATGTTCAGTTATGTTTGTTTGTGTGAACATTTAAGCTGTCATGGAGCTGGTCGCCCTGAATAATTTCAAGGGCACTTACTTGTCCTGTGAATGTGCTCAGTCAAGAACAGAGAAAAAATCAGTGGTGTGCTAAGGTGGAAGTGAGGTGGAGGTGGGACTGGTCTACCCAAGGTGCAGGAAATGAAGAGTGCATAGCCTGTAAAGAATTAAAACCAATGGAAAATGGCTTAAAGTTGTTTTTATTTTTATTATCATCACAGTCCAGCAATTCTAAACCACTCTTCTCATCCCCAATGCTATGCCACTGAACAGCTCATTTGGAGCCTGCAGGGACCATTATGGCAGTTAACTCCTGCAGTCAAGATTTATTTCCTGCCCCCTTTCCCACACTGCCCCCTCCTGGTCTCATCCATTACCAGCTCTTTGGGATGTGAAGATTCATGAGGCACAAACTCCAAAGACTAAGAACGCATTTGTTGTCAAGACAAAATTTTATTAAACAAGTATTTAATGGTTGTTTTATCTCCCAAGGCTGTGTTTATTAATTTTTCTTTCATTTAAAAAGTATTTATTGAGCTCCTACTAAGTACCAGGCCTGGTGCTGGATATGGGAGGGTGCAACACAGCAGACAAGACAGTGACACAGAGCCAGCATTCTAGAGAGACAGACAGTAAGCAAGTAAACAAATGCATGAACAAGATGATTTTAATAGAGTATCTGAATAGATAAAAAATCGAGACCTAACCATATGCCTGTCTATAACAAACTCACTTTAGATTTAAGGATACATACAGGCTGAAAGTGAAAGGATGGAAAAAAGATACTTTATGATAAAAGTAACCAAAATAAGGAAGAGTGTCTATATTTATTATCAGGCAAATAGACTCTAAGTCAAAAACTGTCACAGGAGCAAAAGAGGGATATTATATACTGATAAAGGATCAATTCATCAAAGGATATAATTATAAATATATATGCACCAAACATCACAGCACCTAAACATGTAAAACAAAGATTGACAGAACTAAAAGGAGAAATAAACAGTAATAATAATTGGAAATTTTAATACTCCACTATCAATAATGGAGAAAATATGCAGACCAAAGATCAAGAAGAAAACAGAGGACTTAAACAACACTGTAGACCAAATGGACCTAATAGACATACAGAGAGCATTCTACCCAACAGCAGCAGAACATACATCTTGTCAAGCACACACAGACTTTCTCCAGGATAGGTCATGTGAAGTCACAAAACAAGTCTTAAGAAATTTAAGAAGATTGAAATCACACCAAGGATCTTTCTAACTACAATAAAATGAAACTATAAATCAACAGCGGAAGAAAAATTGGAAAATTCACAATTATGTGGAAATTAAACAATATTCTCTTGAACAGTCACTGGGTCAAAGTAGAAATCAACAAGGAAATTAGAAAATATCTCAAGACAAAAATAAGTAAAAACACAACATACCAAACCCTATGGGATGTAGCAAAAGCAGTAGTAAGAGGGCACTTCATTGCAACAAAGGCTTACACTAAAAAAGAAGAACAATCTCAAATAAACAACTTAACTTTACACCTCAAGGAGCTAGGAAAAGAACAAAGTGAGCCCCAAGTTTGCAGAAGGAAGAAAGTAAAATAATCAAGATGATTTTAGCTAGTGTGAAGTGAAATGAAGGGGAACATTCTAAAGTAATGAGGTAGAAAGTGATGGGTACAGGTGGGTCTGTACTGGTACTGGAGGAAATGAAATGAAAGAAAGCCTGAGCAGCTAGGGATAATGGGGAGCCTTTTTAAGAAAGAGGCTGAAGAGATGGGGGATGTCAATCATGTAGGGTCACAAGACCATGTTATGGAGTTTGCATATTGTAATACAAGAAAGGGAGTGAGTGACAAGAACTAAATTAAAGCTCTTCACTACTTTCCCTGTTATCCTCCTAATTTGCATCACTGCTTCTTTTAGTTTGTCACTTTTGTGACAGTTTCAGCTGGCAGCTCCCTCACTTCCCACAGTTTCCCTATCGCTTCAGATTTCACCTGCCCCACCTCCACTCTGTTCATTTATTTGCCTTCTGAGTATCTTCTTATTAGGCACCCAATTTCCTAGTATGGTGTTCTCTCTAATCTGCAGACAACTGTTAATTGTCAGACACCACAGTAGTTGTCTAGGCTGGTGATCAACCATATGGACCCATGTCTTCCTCTTCTCATAAATGACATTTATTTATTACCTTGGACTTTTCCTTGAGCCTTTTGGGGGAAAGAGATGAATCTAGGAGTGGGGAAGATAAAGAAAGAAGAAAGGAAAGATTAGGAGCTCTTGAGGCCTGGGAGAATTGAGAGAGAAAGGTAAATTTCAGCCAGGAAACCCTTGCCTGATCTCTGGGCTGAGAGAAGTTATCTCCATCCACTGAATGTATTTCTCTTTTCAGACTTCAGTAAGGTCTTCTGCTTTCTGACCTTTGTCTGTGGACTTGAGGAAAAACAACCATTTAAGAACTTAAAATGTAAACTCACTTGGGGTGGAGAAAGTCTGGTTGTCCTCTGATTAAAGAATAAAAATAATGATGTTTTCTGTTTCTCTCTCTCTCCACACACACATACACACACAGCATGTCAACAGTTGACATAGTTGACATAGGTCAGGTGGTTCTATCTGTTATTTATTTATTTATTTATTTATTTATTTTTACCAGAGTGGAGTATTGCTCTTAAGGAGGCCCTGCTTTAGGTTCTTTCTTTAAAAAATAAAATAAAATAAATTATAGGAATAATACTGCAAGTTACAGCAATGAATAGATGGAGTCCTACAGAAGAAGGGCAGGTGAATACCTGGGCTTCTTGCCTACAAAGTGCACATGTCTTTTACTTTGGAAAGAAAAAATGACAATTTCAAGTGTCTATAGCAAGAAGAACATAATTGAACACTGGATTTTTCTGGATTCCCTTGAAGAAGATGACTCAGTGTGGTTCCTTAGATATTAAAGATACCTTAAATACTCAAGCTTACCTGTTTCTACTTATTGTTATGGCCAGAGAAGCCCCTTATTCCTCCAAATCCCTATTGAGGAGTTAGGTAAACTAAACCACAAATCTCATAGACATGACTTTGGAGATTCAAGAGCAAATATATCATTTGCTCTTCAACATGTAATTTGAGAACCTGCCAAATATTACACAATCATTAAGAATTTATTGATCACTCATTCACTTTTGGATCCAGACAGGGTCCCTGACAATGCTGTCTGATTGGGGAATGAACTATTGAATTAGGATTCTTATAATTTCTTATCAAGGTGACAGAAAACCCAATCCTAATGGATTAAAACAAAAAGATGAATTATAAATTATTGATTCATATAAGTGAAAAATCCAGGGGGGTAGTTGTGTGTATTAGTTAGTTATTGATGAATAATAGATCATGTTATTATATGATACACATATAGTAGCTTAACAAACTATTTAGGTCAGAATCTTCAGGTCAGCCATGTAAGCTGGGATCAGTTGAATGGTTCTTTTGGTCTATACTGAGCACCCTTATTCACTTGCATTTAGTTGTGGGTGGGCTAGGTAGCCCTGCTCCTGGCAGTTGGCTGGGGAGCTTGGCTCTCCCACACATCATCTCTCATCCTCCAGCAGGCTAGCCCAGGATTTGCTGCATGGTGGCAGGATTCCGAGAGGGTGAAAGTGGACATGATCACTTCCAAATGCATTGTACTGGCCAAAGCATGTCCGAAGACCAGTCCTTATTCAAGGGGCAGGAAAAATTCCCATCTCTTAAAGTTCTCAATGAGAAAATATATAAAGTTATATTGGAAACAGGGAAGTGTAAGAATTTATTTGTGTGTTTCTCCACTCAATCTCATTAAGAGCTTTAGGCAAAGCTCTGCTGGGGCCTTGAACAATTTCATCATTCTACTCTGCTGGCTGCAGCAGTTCCAGACCCCCCATTCAAGTCTGGTGGGAAAGGACAGCCCATCTAACCACTTACTGCATCTCAGTCTCATTGGCTAACTGGATCATGTGCAGATAATCCAATCTCTGAAGCCAAGGGTATTCCGTACATTGATTGGTTCAGGCCTGTTCACATATTCCATCTTTGCACTAGGAATCGAGTCTCACTGGAGGTGTAAAGCCTTTGAGTATGGGAGCGATGGACCCTCAAGTGAAAATTGGTGGCTCTTTCCAGAAGAAATAATGGATGCTGCTGGTGATAATGATCATGGTAGAATGACAACAGACATCCATAACATACCCATAACAGAACACAACACATTTGCTGAGGCTTCATTTGATGGTTGTATAGGATAATGCAATAGTTTAGGAAAAAAGCAGTGCATTCACATTTGAATCCAGATCTTCAGAAACCAAATCTTACAATTTGACCTGAATTATTTTCTCCTCAACAGTGGGCATAATTATGCATAATGAGGAACAGATGATCCTGAATGGAAGAAGAATTTCTTTTTCTTTGTAATAGAAATATCACCCTGATGGCAGCTTTGGCTTTTTTTGATCATCTTCTTCATGTTGTGGGATCAATATACTTTCAAACACTTGTCCATTCACTGAGACATTATCTCCCCAAACTTCTTTGTCCCTGCTTATATTTGTCAACTTTACAATCCTTTTATTACCAGCAAAAGCTTTGGGAAGCAACAAATAAAAGCAGGGATTATAAAAGGATTCTTATTAAAGCATGCTTTCTTTGAGGCACAGAGTACAATGCCCTCCGTTCTCCCCTTGTGAAAAGATGTGTTTTCTTGTTTAATTAGAACAGACCTCCATTCCATTAGAAGAGGACATGTAGGGCAGCAGGATTGAGACTCCGGGCCCCAAGAAAAAAAAAAGGTTTATTTATTTCAGCTCCAGCCAACTTTAAGAGCATTTTGGGACTTTGTGAAATATGCTATCATATTCAGGATGGATGAATGCAAGTAAAGCACCACATCTCTGCACGTAGTAATTGATCATAGTCTCCATTTTGGGTGTTGACTTTGCTGTTGTTACTTTGCAATTAAAGCCCGTGTTGGAGACATGCAAAGCCAAGTGCATCAATTAGGGTCCTAGCGGGAAACAGATGGTACACTCAATTTGGATAATTCGAGAGGAGCTTAGTAAAGGGATTGTTTGAGAAAATGTGAGCAGGGTTAAAGGAAGCCACCAGGGACAGTGTTGTAGCCTAGAGTTAGCCCTGTGGGAAACTATCTCACTTAGTTCAGGGGTAAGTAAACTATGGTCCATGGGCCAAATCTGGCCTACTACCTGTTTATGAAAATAAAGCTTTATTGAAACACAGCTATGTCCAGTGTCTTGTCTGTGAACACTTTCACACTTCAAAGGCAGAGTTGAATAGTTGTATCAGAGACTGTACAGACTGGAACAATGAAATATTTACTTTCTGGCCCTTTACTGAAAATGTTTACATCAGTACTGGGACAAGGCATGGGCGTGAGAGTCAGTACTTCCTGAAATTTTGCACCTAGCCACCTCACTTTCCTCACCCTTGCCCAGCCTGGTTTGCTAATACCTCATCTGGAGAGTAGCTCTATAATAGACAAAGCTACTTGACAGGAGCTATAGCTGTCTGGAGAGAGCTGCAACCAACACACGGCAACTCTGCAGATACGGAGATTGGGAGCAAATGCCACAGCTTCTATTTTCTCCTGCCTTCCAAGCCCTCATATGGTGCAGGGCCAGGGAGCCAGTTGATAGGTCCACAAGGATCAGCCTCCTGGGTAACAGAATAGGTTGGAGAAGGGTGGAGGGAGTATCTGTGGGGCAAACTGGAGGACAGGGAAGAAAAGAGGTAGGTGAGAGAACTTGCTCCATATCCCAAGAGGCTCCAGCCACTACAGAATCATGGTCTGGGACAGGTAAGGATGATGGCCATTATTTGCCCAAAGAGACTTCATTATCAAGACATCAAATTATGTTGATATATACACACAATAAACACAATTTTATTTTTAATTTATACCTCAATAAAGCAGGAAGGAAAAAAAAAGAAGAAACTGCATTAAAAATTGTAACCAAGGAAAGAAAGTTGCTTGCTTATTCAAAAAACACTTATTTTTACCTCCAGAAATAGAAAACTCATCTTAAATTTGAGTTATATAAGGACAGGGTGAACCTTTCCTTCTCCATACGCACATCACAATTATTATTAAATGATATGAGTCTGTGATTGTTTATTTAAAGTCTGTGTTCCTCATTGTAAGCTCTATGGTTCACTGATTTATCCCCACATCCAATCCAGTGCCTGGCATATAGCAGCCATTCAATAATATGTGTTGGATAAGTTAATTGAATGAACAATATGTGAAAGAGCTTGCCCTTAAAAATAGCACAGTATGTCTATGGAATGAAGGGTAAATAGGCAAATGAGAAACACAAGAGCTAGGAATTTGAAAGCCTCAGAATCAATTAGGATAATGAAATTAGAAATGATTAAAAAGGATACATACCTCAAATATTTAATTCTATTTTAACCCCAAACACATATTATTTTCTCAAGCATTTGGGCCTCTCTTTTGAAATATGGTTACATTACATTGTAAAAATTCTAGATTATCTTCTTCACATAAACCACATTTATATTGTGTTATCTATAAGTTTCAGTTTCATTTTCTTCAAAATGGAATACAAAATCTTAAGAGGCTAAAAGAATATTCTAAGGGCAGTTTCCATATAGATCTTCACAATTTTCCTCAATTTTTTGCAGATTTACCATCACTCTCTTTAGTGACTTCCCTTTATTGAATATTTCCAAATCTTTTGATCTGGTTTTCACAGAAATATCTCTGTTCCCTTTGTCACTCACATTGCATTAATGTACCTAACCGCAAATACAGCAGGAATAAGGGCTGGAAATGAACATAACGGATTCCTAGTAAACACAGAGCTCAATTATGGAAGAGCAGGGGTAGAGCTGTACTGGAATGTAGTCTACTTTCCAAGAGCCTTCAACCATCTGGGGGCATGAGAAGTGTGTTTTGTAGTTGGGTGGAGCTTTGGTTAATTTGGTTTGTTGATTAAATGGAAGTTATTTCAGAAAGATTCTACTGAATGTAAGTAAACTAGTGCTCAATATTTTTGAGGTCTTATGACAAAGGATGAGCCCTTCATCATAGATCTCTGCCATTCTATCCTGCAGACAGCCCAAAACAGTCATAAGAAACACAGACCAGAACTGGACATACAGCTGCTTGTGGTTGCCTACAGTGAGGGTCGCCATTCCAGATTTTGTCTGGTGTTCCGCCCCCAGCGTAGACCCAGGGCAGCCAGTTGCTGGCAACTACCTGCACCTGTTTTTCTTTGGTCTGAATTTTGCCCAGTAATCTGGCTTCCTCCTGAGGGGTGGGGACAGGGAAGGATGAACACAGAGCTGCGTGCACCAACATGGGGCTTGAGCTGGGGGCAGGTCAGGGAGCAGGGCTCTACTCCTGTCTCGGAGGAAATGTCCCGGGTCGAGGAAGGGTAGTCATCAGGTAACCTGTGCCCCGAACCCAGCACTGCCACTTAGAAGCTTGGTGGCCTTGGCAGGGCACTTAAACTACTGTGTCTTTGTTAAATTATCTATAAAATCAATGATAATAATTATGTAAGAAATAGTATCTGTGTCCTACCTCTCTTGTAGGAATGCTGTGAGTCTCAAGTGAAACAAGAAATCAGTACTGTGCGGTGAGGAGAGGGCAGTCGTGTTGATTGTCCTTCCTCCCTCTTGTCCAGATTGGCATCTGAAAGAGTCAAAATTGGCTCAGTTACGCTGCAGTAACAAATAGCCTCAAACGTCAGTGGCTCAAAAAAAAGGTTTGTTTTTTCTCATGTCATGTGTCCATCCCAGGCTGGCAGGGGTCCCCAGACAGCACACACATTCTTGTTGGGTCACAGGCTGATGGCACAGCCACCCTCTTAAATATTTCCAATTGTCATGGCAGAGATGAGAGAGGGAGCCCTGTAACGTATCCACTGGCAATTAAATATTTGATCCGAAAATAACACATGAAATTCCTTCTGGAAATTCATTAGCCAGAGCTATCCATGTGGCCTCCGCCTTCTCCCACGGGGGGCAGGAAATACAAATGACCGCAAACCTCCGAGTAAGAACTGGGGATGTTTGGTAAGCAGCCCTAATGATGACACCCCACCCTTTACCTCATCTTGTCTCCTTCCCTCAGTCCCTTCCTTCTGTCTTCCTCTATTTTCATTTTTAGAGAAAATATAGTACAGTGAAAGTATAAACTTTGAAGTCAAGTACAATCCCGTCTCTGTCACTTGCCAGTTATGTAGGGGATTTGGGGCATATAACATAAACATCTTCTTAGTCAATTTATCTAAAAAAGATGTGCACTGTGAAGATTAAATGAAATAATCATGGAAAACCTCCAGGAACAAAGTCGACACTTAACAAATGCCTGTCCCTTTCCTCAGCTCATCAGTTTCTCCTTTCCTTTCCTCTCCATTTTTCAAAATTCTTCTTGAAGGGAAGGTGAGGGTTTGGGGGTCAGGTGTGGGGCTAAAAAGAAAAACCGTATGTGCTTTTACTGCATCCTCTACCTCCAGCCATGCCTTCAGATGACATGGCAGTGGAGGCCAGAGTCAACCTTGATCACTCAAGGTCATCTCAAGATCACCTCAAAGTGTTGAGAGTTGCCAGAAAATACTTAGCCGATTAGTTGGTATCAGAGCTCCTGAAAATCATCTCCCTAAGACGCTTGTCCGAGTCACTATTCTTTCCAGGAAAGGCACTGTGATATTCACCAGTGCCAGCATTTCTCCTCTTCTACATGCATCTGAATCACCAGGGGATCTTGTAAAATTAAGATTCTGATTCTTCAGGTCTAGGGCAGGGCCAAGATTCTGTACTTTTGACAGACTTCTAGATGATGCAAAGCTGCTGGTCCCCAGCCCATACTTTGATAAATGAAGTTCCAGGAAAAAGAAATGACAATTTGGGAGCTGTGGGTCTATGTAAGAATCCTGAATCTTCTACTGGCATATTTCAAAGCTTGGGTAAAACATTTTTCTATTCCAAAACTTCATTTCCTCGTCTGTAAAGTAGGCAACAATAACCATACTGGGTCATGGTGCTGTTGCAAGGCTTAAATGAGATCACACACCTGGGAAACTTTGTCGACTGGAAAACACTGTGAAGTGTGAGCTATTAGCATCTTCTTCAGGCTTACAGCACTAGGCTCTTCTCTCTATCAGAAAAGGAACACTAAATGGAGACCACATACGTGTGTGTGGGCAGGGAGCTCGAGGGGAGGGCTGGGGGGTGGCCCCAAAGCTAAGTAAAGTTGGTATAAATGGTCAACGCAAAGGCATCTTAGCCAAATAGAACCTGTTAAACCAGGCCACAAGCAATGAGACCCTACTTCTTCTTAGGGGATGCAGTGATAAAGAAATTACATAGTTATTTGAGAGGAACATAAATAAAGATTAATAGGTTAATGAGTTATTTTCCTTTCATTACTACACTATTGTACTTTATTATAATTGCTTTGCACTCATTTAATTAAATTTGAACTGGGGCCAACACAAGATAATTTGTTTTCCCTGTACTGAACAATGAGTATGCAGATTGGATGTACTGAAGCAGTAATCAGCCCTCTGTTTGCAACACTTTTCTACTCTGAGTAGACATTATAATTGATAATTTGATTGTTGCAGCGCTCTGTGCAATATATTTTAAAGCAACATTAACATAATGGAAATTATGTTGTGAGCTTAATCTCAGCTTTTCAGTGAGAGGCTATCCGGCTCCTCAGTGTAAACCAGCGAGGGTTTCGCGGCAGATTTCTCTCTCTCTTCCTGTTCCCTTTCTCTCTCCCTCTGCCTCTCTCCCTTCCTCTTTCCCCCTTTCCTCGCCTTGCATTCCCTCCCTTCTGTTTCCCATATGTTCTCCATCCCTCCTTCTCTTCCTTCCTTTTCCATCTTTCCTCTCCTTGCCTTCCTCCCTCCTTCTCTTTCTCTTTTGTTTCCCGCCCCACCCCCCAGCCCCCATAACCACATTCACTTTCTGTTCTTTCCTGGTTCTGTAGCTCCAAAAAGAAGCCAGAAGGATGGCAGAGGAAGTGCTCACAATGACCACTCGGTGGGGTGGCTTCACTTCCTAATTTTGAGACCCAGTTCACATCCGGAACATCCGGGAAAAGCATACAAGGGCCTTTCCTGCAAAGAATCAAAGGAGAAATTACTCAAGGTGGCCAGCACAACAGGCAGCACCATGCTTTGACCCTTGTTGATAAACATAATGGATTAACTCACAAGGTGGTCGTGCTCTCTCTGAGGGCATTTCTGCACAATTTGGCCAATTTGGCTTAAATTGTCAGGAGAAAAGCCACTGACATTGTCTTTGAAGCCCATTCTTCCCCTCTTGAAAAGATGGGACCTTTATTCTTGGGAACACATTCTGGAGATGAATGCTCTTTGGCTCAAGGATTTGCTGTCCCACAGGGGAAACTAGGTGTGAGAATCTGTTTAATGATCTCAGGCCAGAGGTCTTGGGCACAGTTGGGGGAACCTTGTGTCTAGGTGACTTCTGTTGAGTTTTCCTAACTCTGTAAATATTTGTTTCTGTGTTTGTTTTGGGAGGAAAAACACCTGTGAGTGGTTGGAAATGACCGAGTTTGTTTTAGAACGTCTAGGGAGGGGATTCTCAGTGTCCTTTGTCCTCCTCTAAACTGTCCAGGCCCTGCTTTGTTGCCCAAATCCAGTTCCTTTGAAGAAAAGCCTGCTCTTGGTCTCTTTGCTCTTTCTAAGGTCTGGGCACCCACACTCTAGTCTTCTGTTATATTTCCAAACTACCCACCAGTGTGGAGGGAAAAGGCTGCACCACAGAGCGTGCAGAGCGGACAACTTTCCTTCAGAGCAGACTTTTTGCAGAAGGCAGATTTGTCTCCTTAATGCATTAGTTTCTCCAGTGAACACTTGAGTGCCAGTGCTGACTCTGAGAGTCTTTTCTTTTCTCTTTCTATGTTTTTATTTTTCATGGAAAGTGAAGCTAGAACTTGACTCACTCACACACCTGTTACCAGTTCAGAAACAGTGCTTCTGTTTCACTTTCTGCCTCACCGTCTCATTTGCTTAGGGAGCATGTCCTCTTAGTTTCTCTCACTGGGAGATGGACTCCTCTCAGCTAGGTGTACTGTTCTAGTTGCCTTTATTTTTTAAAAGAAAAAGGGCCCAGAGACTTTTGTATTTTTACTTTTTACCCTTGGTTAACAAAAAAGATAAAGAAGGAAGAGAAAACTGCATTTTGCCTGGATGGGTGTGCTTCCTTTTGTTCACAGATGCTGTGCTTAAGTTGAACAGCCTACAGTGGGATATGGTCCCAGCCTGGAGACACAATCCCAGCTTCTTGCATCAGTCCACCCAGGGCTCCCTGCCTCCAGGGACATTGCTAAGGAAGCCTGATCCCAAGCAAGGACCTGAGGGTGAATTCTTGGAGCACAAGTATCAGGTATGCAGACACACAGGAGTTCCCCACTGAGGGAAACCACGGCAAAGGGTCTCTCTCTAGGTCCCAGCCTTGGATTCCGGGCACCCGCAGCCTCTACAGACAGCCTGATTCCTCAGATTTATTTCTCATAATTTGGTTCCTAAGACAGTGATTCAAGTGCAATAAGCTATTTGGAGATGACCCCAGTAAACACCAGGAGGGGGAATGAAGGATCAGGACGGAGAAGGAAAGCAGCCAAGAAATGATGTGTCATCCAGTCAGTGAGCAAAGGCTGCATCCTGTCGGGGGGCTCTGGGAACTGATGCAGAACATGGACTGCAGAGTCAGTGCACTGAGGCACCAGGGAGCTGCGGTGTTTAGAAGGCTGTGGCTCTTCCTAGGGGAGCATTAATTCTCGGGGATTTGTGCCCTGCTGAACACGTGGGCAGAGCAGGCTCTGGACACCAGAGGGGAGATGCAGAGGCTGGCCATTGAAAGGAGCTGCAAGGCCAACACCTGAGAGGATGTGGGTGGGCGTAAGCAGTCTCTCCCACAGCTTTGCTGTGAAGTATCTCGTGTGTCTATGCAGTTTCTTCCTAGATTGTGCAGTAGCCGCTCCCACCCTTATCTGCAGTTTCATTCACACACAGTCCAGAAGCAAATGCTCCTCCTCCTGACGTTTGGTCAGAAGGTCAGCAGCAGCCTCACGCCGCCTCACAAGGCCTGCGTCCTCTGCCTCACTTCATCTCATCACACAGATGAGAATTCTATCATCTCACAGCATCACCAGGAGGGGAAGAGTGAGCACAGGACAGTAAGATATTTTGAGAGAGACAGGCTATATTCACACAACTTTTACTACATTATATTGTTAAAAATGTTCTAATTTACCATTAGTTATTGTTTTTAATCTCTTATTATGCCTAATTTATGAATTAAACTTTGTCAGAGGTATGTAGGTATAGGAAAAAATATACTGCCTGTGGGGTTCAGTATTATCTGCAGTCTCAGGCATTCAGTGGGGGTCTTGGAACGTATCCCCGCAGATGAGGGGGGACGAGTATAAGCCCCATAATGACAATGGCTGAGCTCATGAACCAGTCTGTGTTCCCCAGTGCCCACCTGGACGCTAACATCATCATCCATTCAGCATTCCTGGTGGAGGTAATACTCTGCACAGAACAGGTCAGCTCTGTCAGTCTTCCCAACAGCCCCTTGGGGTAGGTCCTACTGTCACCTACGCCTTACAGATGGGGAAATGGGAGCTCAGGGAGTTAAGTAACTTGCTGAAGTGGAAGGGTCTGGATTTTCAAACTCGGGCCATCTGGCGCCACAGCCTACCATTTGGGGTGCTGTACTGGGCTGCCTCTCACAGCTTTGTGGTTAGAACCTGAATCTGAAGCTCTAGAGAGCATGCTCCCACAGCTGTCACAGTCACTTACCGACTGCTTCTCTCGTGTCTCATTCTGGGGTAGATGCTTTCCATCCAGTATTTTGTTTTGATTTTCTTCTTATTGAGGCCAAGTAGTATGTATTGTTATCCCCATCTTAGAGCTAAAGGCAGTGAGTTTCAGAGAGGTTATATCACAGAGCTGGTTAGTGAAAGGGTCGGTAGGGACACCTGCACACCAGACAGCAAAGCCGTGACTTCAAGATGCTGTGCTTCCCACTTGGGCCTCCGCAGCAGGGAGTGAGCAAGTGATGAAGGAAATCAAGAAAGAAAGTTACATCCTCTGGATTGCCCCAGAGAGAGCAGGTGGGCCAAGGGTCAAGCAAGAAACCAGGTTCATGAAGGACATCCCAGACCCTTTCACCCCATTTACCTATGTGAACATGGCACAATTAGGTGAGGTGGTTACTGTTTTTAAGTAACCTTTGGTAATATCCGAAGGGCTTTATAATCTACTTCTCTTTCACCTGGTGCACCAGCAGGGATACTGGCATGGACCCAACCTTGCCAGGCTTGGAGAAGCCATGCCTCCAACACGCTTATGAAAACTTTTCCCTCCGTACCTAAGGCTAATAACAGCACCACAATGACCCACAAGCTGGAGTCTGGGGGTTGCGTGCATTCTTCTCCATGCATGGGCCAACAGCCAAGCCCTGCCCAGGGTGCATGGCCATTTTGGGGTGCCCACCTCTGCTCCTCTGAAAGGCATGCTGGGTACTCCCTAGCTTGTGCTAATCTTCCCTTTCCTCCACTAGCTCCTAAGTCCCTTTTCTTCTTCATTTGTCTCTTGCTTCTTCCATTTCCTTTCTAGGAAAGGAAGCCCAGTGTGGTGAACAAGCACACCCAGGAAACCGGGAGGCCTGGCTGTGGCTTGCAAAGATTGCTGGACACCGCATCCACGGGAGGCAGCCCAGCTCAACCGCTCCCCAGCCAGCCAGCCTTCTTCTGTGTGCTGAACTTCAGTCCCCAAACTGTCACACAGGACAGTCATACTACATTATGGTTTTCAGCCCTTTTGAAAAGACAACAGAATTTTTCCTACACTGTTCATAATTATTTTTGAGCCTGCATTTTTTTTAAATGGTAGGTTTCACATTAAAAAAATATTAAGATGATTGGCATTCCTTGAAAAATTGGATCTGGATACACTGAAACTACAGTTCCCTCATGCCAACTGTCTGTTCCCTCTTCTAGGTGGGGTGTGCATGACTCACTCAGAGCTTGCACTGTTGTATACCCATCCTGTTTCTGGCTTCATAAGAGGCAAGGGAAAGATATAACCCCAAAGGGACCTCTGACATGCCCAAAGTGCATGCGGATAAGGAATTGACATGTCTGTGCTTTTACTGTGTGAGAAAAACTGAAAGCAAGACAGAACACGAGGCCAGCAATAACCTGGAGAGACTGCAGACAGCGGCAGCCATGAAGGGTCCTGCATGCACAGTTTCCAACGTGTGTTCACCCATGGGAGCTCGTGGATCCTCTGACATGGAGCAGCACAGCCTCCAGGGGCTGCTTTGCTCATTGTAAGATGAGAAGCCAGAGGTGCAGGGAGGGGAAGTGACTCACCTCAAGTCACAAAGCTGCTGCAGTCAATGCCAGAGTTAAACTCGGGTCTGCTCCGTCCTGGCCCAGTGCTCCCCCCACCGTCTGCTAGGAAGTCTCCCCATCTCAGTTTGTATTCTACCTTACATTTCCCACCACCTTATCCACTTTTCTCCTTTAAGGACTTGGCAAGCTCGCCAGGCAGCTGCTCCTGAACATATTTCAATAGATGAGGAAACTGAGGCAGTGAAGTCAGAATAAAGGCATAAAGTATACGGTATAAAGGTAGAAAAGCAGAGTAAGCAGTTCTCTCTGTGGCATAACTGGAGGGATAATGGAAGGGATGTGTCTTGTTCTCTTTCCCTCTCTCTGTATTTATCTCCCTCTTGTCTCTCCTTTTCCCTCTCTCTCAGTTTGGATGGGGAGACCCTAATACACATACCCTCTTTTTTTTTTAAGGGAAAAATAATGGGCAGAGAAAGTAGAGGTCCCAAAGTACCCAACACCCATCTTGCTCTCTTTACACATTTGGAAACATCAGTCCTGGATTCTTTTCTTTTTAGCTCCGCTTCCTTCCTGCCTTTCTTTATACTATGCAAACACAGGATTATCTAACAGCACTTTAGATTTTCAAAATGCTACATGAGCTTCTCAGTTATCAAAATACATAAAGGGAAGAATGGGATGATGAGCTCTCTTCCTAAGTTAGGGTACAGAATCAGCAGTGGAACTAACACGTCCAGGTTCTCTCAATGGCTGAGAAAGGAGGCTGAGAGCATGTCTCAGATCACTTGGGGTTGCAGTGTGAGCCTAGCTAAGCCTCTCAAAAGAATCGTTTCAGGTTCAGGAATATCTACAATGTGCCAGGGAAACTGCTGGGTACTTTACAGACAAAATCTCACAAAATTTTCTTAGAAGGGCATACGGTTGCCTCCATTTCCTCACTGAGAAAACTGAGGCAGGCCCAAACTGCCCGAATGCTGCCCAAGGGCATCCCACAGGCCTGAATCTGATGCCGGAGCTCTCATCCCCTCTACCAACTTGATTTCACAATAGAAAAAAAATGTTCTTAATGCCTCCCCTTCCCCAGTAATCCTGTGAGGCAGGTCCTTTCTCTAATCCACGTATCCCACTGATCCCTCCTGGGTGTTTGGGGGTTCCTACAGGTCCTCTGGGATTGTCTGAAGGCTAGATAAACTTGGGCCAGTTTGCCACCAAAGATGCTTCAACAGTATAAAAAGAACGACAAAATCCTACCGCTGAGCCAATCGCCCACTTGAGCGAGCTCTTGCTTCTCCATTCATCTTAGGCATGTCCCTTTGGAAAGGAATGAAGCCGGTTGAAACTGAGGAACAAACATGCAGGAAGCAAAAAGCCACGCCACACCCCTGACACGGTGTACCAGGGAGGAAAGAGTAAACATTAACCAGAAGGCAAACGCGGAAACATCAGAGAGGCGGCGCGCATGGAGGCAAAAGCAAGTGGAACTGGGTAACAGTAGCTAAACCCATGGACGTGGAAATCAGCCAAAACCTGGGTTCAATTCCCTACTTTGATATTTGCTAGCATCATGGTATTGTTAAGTACCATTACTTAACATTTTTTTAGCCTTAAGTTTCTGTATAAATCTGGGATGATAATAATAGATTCCTCTGAGCCTTGTTATATAGATTAAATCATATAATGTATAGAACATGCTTAGGAGAGTGCCTCACATTATATGGGCTAAACCCAATGACAGCTCTTATTATATACAATTAACTGCAATTAACCTATTTTCAGCCTTTCACCTCTCAAATTTCATTGCTCCTATTTCAAGAAAAATGTCACATCAGGATTTCTATTCTGTTATTCTTTCTGAATCTCTAAAGCATGTTCTGTGGCCACTACAGACTCAGGCTAAATCATCCACAATGTGAATCTGTGAGCCTTAACATTAAGGATGGCTCCTCTATGACAAGCAGGTGAGACCAGGCAAGCACCTAAGAAAGAGAGTGACGTGACCACTGTCCTCCACGTACGAAGGAAAGAAGGCAGACAGGAACCCAAGAGACTTTTAGAAATTTGTGCAGAATGGACTTTGGGGAGAATGCCAACTGTCCATTAACCCGAGTCCCAGTCCTGGGTTGGGGCATCCTGGCCAGCCAATACCACGCAGAAATGGGAACTGGCAGAGACTGGAAAACAACGGCCACAAGACTTAGGGAAAATAAGCCCCTGGTTCATAAGAGGCAGGATGAAAGCTGAGACCAGTCCTTTCTGAAAAGAGAAAATGGGGGTATCTGATAGGATGGTGAGTGGCATCTGTGATGAATGCAGCGATTCTGGCCCGGTACAAAAGTCTACTGTGCCATTTTGGATATCTTATTATGAAAAGGTATCCATTAGTGAGGCCCAGTCAACACAGTTGATGTGATTGGGGCACAAAGATCCCTGCATATTTTAAAAGGGAAGTGAGACCAGGCTGGTATCATTCAGGAAAGGGGAGATAGAGAGGAGGAGATTCACAGAGTGACACAGCATTCCGAAGTGAAAACCAAATAGAAGTTCAAAAGGCTTATTGGAATTCACTGGTCTCTCTCCCTGTCTCCCTTCCACTTCTTCCTAACCCAAGCAGGGCAGCACAGTCCGAAGGAGTTGTATAGTAACAAAGGCATTTGACGTTTGGTATGGGCACTCAAAAATATACTAAACATTGACCTGGGAACCAAACAGAGAAAAGAGAGAAAGAGAATGAAGCATTACAGGATTGAGGCGCGGAGTAACTCCAGCAACCACTCCAGTGATTTGGGAACAGCACCAAATAATTGGAGAAAAGAACAAAGGAAACCACGAAGTACTGAGCAACTGATGTGCTCCAGGCCTGGC